TCAATCATTCATCTAGTTATCAAAATATTCAAGGTATCTGAGTAATATTTCAAAAGATACCCTCCAATATTGATACTGTTTCCATCATTCTACCTACATTCCCCAAACAAACAAGTAAAATGCTATGGTAAAGATTTTCAAAAATGAATCACTAATAATCCAGCAGAGATAGACTTATATCCTTAGGTCTGAATACATATCTGGGCACCTCTTCTGATTATTGACACGATTTCCTTTTGATTTTTAAATTTTTGTCTTAATCATCTTGCACATCCATGTGGTTTCTCATACTTAATTAGTTGTTTCCATATGTACTATGTGTGCAATGTGAGCTTATGTGTCTGTGCTTATTCTTATGTATAGCTGTGTTCAGGCACATGCCACCGCTGATGTATGCTGTGAATATATATTACTTCATTGGTTAAAAAAGAACTGCATTGACTGCCTGAGAGATGGACATAATGAAGTTAGGTGGGATAGCCAAACTCAGAATGCTGGAAGGTAGAATGGCCAAGTCAGCCAGACACAGACGGAGCAAAACATACCAAGAACAGGCAAAACCACGAGTAACATTGATCTCTCTCTCTCTCTCTCTCTCTCTCTCTCTCTCTCTCTCTCTCTCTGTACCTACATATCTATCTATCCAGAAACTGTTTAATTTAAGTTGTAAGAACTTCGAGTGATAAGCCTGAGTTATCAGCTGATCATTTCAAATTAATAATACGATTCAGAGGGAATAATTGGGAGAAGCCATCAGCACAGAAAACTCTGTCAACAGTTGACAACTCAGGGACTTGGAGTGGGCCCTTTGTTTGTCCTGGCCACCGGTTAGCTTACACCTGAAATAACCACACAGAAACTGTATTTATTAAAAATTGTTTGGTCCATTAGCTTTAGTTTTTATTGGCTAATTTTTGCATTATGATTTAACCCATTTTTATTAATCTGTGTATTGCCATGTGACTGTGGCTTATCGGAAAGATTTTAATCAGTGTCCGTCTCAGGCAGGAGACCCATGGTGTCTTTGACTCTGTTTTTTTTTTTTTCCCAGAATTCTGTCTTCTCCACCAACCTAAGTTCAGCCCTATCAACTAGGCCAAGGCAGTTTCTTTATTCATTATCCAATGAAAGCAACACACAAACAGAAGGAACTCCGACATCAATCGATTACAGAAAAATTATGAACTGATAATGTAAAAAAAGTTTGGAAATCAATCATTGAGGCCTCTGACTGTGTCTATCAGTCAATAATCAGTCTACAGAGCAAGAAGAGTGGGTTTTCTCATGTGTCTAATTCCAAACTTGTCTACATAGTGAATTGTATACACTGGACTGGAGTGTATAACTATCTGAAGGAAAACAAGACAACACAAAACTAAGCTTTATCTATTTATTCCTATGTAAACTTACATCTATATAGAGCGCTATATGTCTTTTATAATGCTTATAACTGGAAATATCTCACTTTTTTCAGTATAATTTGCAATCTCTACCTTAAAGTATTAGATGGTAAGCCTTAGGTATAAACAACTCATAGATATTGAATTGCTCAGTTCTTTATCATCCCAACTTGCTTTCTATTGAGAGATACTATCACTGTTTATTGTAACCACATTTTTAGCCTTTCTACCATAAGACACTCAGCAATCATTTCAGTAATTATTAAATATGTGTCCTTGAAGTGTTATTGTAAAAATATCTTATTTTTAATCATTATTACCCTTAAAATAAAAAAAACAACTCTGAAACGTTGTATCAACAAAAATGAAGCTAAACTAAGTATCCTTTCTGAGAACATACTTTAGTGATCCTAAATTATAAAAGTGCTTATTTCATAAATGTCATAAATAGTAACATTCCCTTGGGGAGTCACCAGAGGCTAGCACATCTCCTTGAGGCAGGGCCAAGTTCCTCCCTACTTTATCTAGACTCAATAAGATATCCCTTTAAAGTGAATGGGTTCCAAAAAGTCAATTCAAACAGTAAGGATCCTGGTCCCACTGCCAGTGGCCCCACAATCTTTCCCAGTCACACAGCTGTCACCCAAATTCGAGGACCTAGTTTGGTTCTGTCCTGGTTAGTTTTATTTTTTTAATCTTCCTGGTTAAAACAAAATAATCTAATTAATACTCAACCCTTTTGCTTTGTAATAAGTGTTCCTGAATGGTTGCTATTGTGATTTCTCTGGACCCTACAAGTCCAATGTCAGGAGAAGAGACCATGTTGCTTTAATTATTCTTTGCACTTATATTTATTATAATGGCAAACTCATATATCCATCATTATCTGTGCAATCAGCGAGAGGTGACTTATCTGTACAGCAATGCATAGATACACCAAGGTATGACTTGCATAGACATACCCTGAGAAAACCATTTAAAACTCTGATGCTATGTTAATTTTCAACTTTCTTAGATGTAAAAATTCTATGCACAACATCTATTTGATTAATCTGTTCTTCTAGGACAGTCAACACTTGTAGTTTTTTTTTCCTGTCAATAATTGCAAGCTTGAGAGCTCTCTAATGAGAGCAAGATGTTACATATTGTTTAAAATATTGTCATAGGAAATAAAACCTATTCAAAACCCTCTGTGTCCTATATAAGTCATTAATTAGCTTCGTTTTAAAGGAGCATCGAAACTACAAGGGAAAGGAAAGTGCATAGACAGAGGAAGTTTATAGACTTAGGACATTAAAATTCATTATCTTTAGTGAAAGCTGTTATACAAGCTCATAAATTTTATCAAAATGTTTGATGACAGAGTATTGCTCATTAAGTATAGAATAAATGCAGAAATCATACATGACTTGTAAATTTTAACCTACACTTGTTACACGTTTTCAGTCTATAAGGGGAAAATAAGGAAATACATGAGGGATATTTTCATATATAACTAAAATGCAAATTTCTTACTTCACAATGTAATTTAAAATGATCTAAAACAATGTCATATTTGTATGTTCAATATTGAAAGGTGAAGATGTTTTTAAATTCTCGTTATATGTGCTGATGAGATTCATTTGCTCTCTCCCATCACATTTTGCAAAAGAACCAAAATAAAATAAATTAGCAGACTGGTAACCCCTAAGTGTTTTATGCAGAGGAAAAACATACAGGTGAGGCAATGAGATAAACTTTAAGTTTGGAAAAGCTAGAAGGCTAACTCATCTCATTACAAAAATCCTACAGGTAAATCCTGCTTGAAAACCAATAACACTTGGAATTAATGGCTTCTGTACTTTCAAATTCATTATTCTTGTATACTGGAAGTAAAAGTTGTGTAGCTTGGTTTTTCTGTTGTACTCCTACCAGTGGAAATGGGAGGTGTCTCTGACTCCTTTGCCTACTCCTGTGGCTATTTTCCTCTTCACTAGAGTGCCTCATCCAGCCTTGATAAGAGGATTTGTGCCTACTCTTTTTGTAACTTGTTTGGCGGTGGTAGGTTGATGTCTCTTGGAGCCTGCTCTTTCTAAAGGGAAAGGGAGGTAGGGCTTGGACTGAGAGGAGAGAATGAAGGAAAAACTGTGGTAGGATGTAATTATCTGAGAATAAAAAAAAATAAATTTCATAATGAAAAAAACAAACAACTTCACATCATTTGAAGTGCTTCCAGAGAATCATCACACAGAAGCTTGCAGCTGAACTAGGTAGGATAAAAATAATCCAGATTGGACTGGTGGATGAAGCTATGAGGAGTCACGGAGAACATCTGAAGGCTGGCACTTTGATATACCAGGCATGGTCGTTGGTGAAGGTGCAGCCTTAACAGCAATTGAAGGTCCAGGATTATAGGCCCATGTAGAGAAGTTGAGGCTGAGCACCATAAAGAGAGCCAATGAGAGGTTTTGGTGAAAGCACAATCCAGAAACAGAAAACTCCAGCAGTTTGTTAAGGCTGGTACCATGGTAAGACCACTAAAAAGAGCAAAAGCAAGGAATAGAGCATGAATGATCTAATAAAGCAAACTGTGTGTACTCCAGCCGGCAGATCTGTAAAACTGAGGTAAATCTTTTCTAGGAGCCCAGCAGACTTGAATGCATCCCAGATATTGGACATTGAGTTAGTTTGATTGCGTTCTGTTCAGGTTGTTTCTGTTCCCTGTTCATATCTCTTGAAGTAATGATTATTTAATTTATTTTTGATTTTATAAGTGCTCACAATTGAGAGACTGAATTTTTAAGGTAGTTCTATATTTTAAAAGAGAATTTGAATTTTAAAGAGTGAATTTTAAAGTGTTTGTTTTTGCAAAACCAGTAGGACTTTTAAAAAATGCTTTATATTGTGATGTTGATTTTAATGTGTCATTTTGGAAATGAACAAGAAAGGAGAGGTTGTGGCCTAACAGAGATGAGTTTGGGTGTCATGTTGACAAGGGACTAGTTGTAGTGGCTAGTTTTATGTCAACATCACACAAGCTAAAATGATCAGAGAGGAGGAAGACTCAACTGAGGAAACGCCTCCTTAAAATGCACTATAAGATATTTTTTAAATTAGTGATCCATGGAAGATTACCCAGCTCATTGTGGTTGGGACCATTCTGGCCTGTTGGTCCTGGGTCTATAAGTAATCAAGCTAACAAGTCATTGGTGTTCAAACCAGTAATCAATATTCCTCCATTACCCCTGCATCAGCTCCAGTCTCCAGGTTCCAGGTGTTTAAATTCCTGTCCTGGCTTCCTTCAATGATGGACTATGATGTGGACATATAAGGCAAATCAACCCTTTCCTTTTCAGCTTGCTTTTGGTCATAATATTTTGTTACAGCAATAGAAACCATAAGATATTATTTTACTACTAAAGAAATGTAATGAATCCTAATGACATTTTGCTATATTAATGCAACAGTTCCTTTCTCATCCCTTATCAGAGAAGCTTCCTTTGCAACATATGGTAACAAATACAAAAATCCACAACCAGACATTGTGCAGAGAGTGAGAGATATTGTCACTCAGTCCTAAGCACTCCATCAAATTTGTCTCCATCAAATTCCTCCCCTCAGGTCTCAGAGAACCCTGCAGTAAAACAAGTTGAAAGAGGATAAGAGTCAGAAGAAAAGAGATCATCAAGAAAAGGACGTCTTTTAAGCACAGTAGGAATGGCTCACATATGAACTCACAGATACATGGGCAGCATGCACTGGCCCTGCATTGGTTTGCGCAAAATGGAGCCCTAGAGCTGAAAGAAGTGGACACACAATTCCATCCTTAATCTAGAAGCTATATCCAATGGGAAATCATTTGCAATCTCTCTCCAAGAGTCTCCCTTGGAAAACAAACTACTCTTAATGGCAGGCTCCATTTCCAGCAGGAGATGGCCCACAGAAAACAAAATTAAAAGCTTCTTTGGAGGTTCTTTTTCTCATAGTGCCTTGTAAATTCTTACTTGCTCTTCTATCGTCCCTCCCTCCCTCCCTCCCTCCCTCCCTCCCTCCCTTCCTTCCTTCCTTCCTTCCTTCCTTCTTTCAAAATTTTTGCTTCCTCTCTCTCTCCTCTCCATTTCTCCCTCTGTCCTTTATTATATTAAAGCTCCTTTATTTACCTATTATTGCTTACATTTTGTGTTTTTATGAGATTCATGAACACGTGAACTAATTAGTGTCTGTTTCTGTTTCTTGTGCCCTTTCTTGGGCTCTTTTCTTTCTGTTGGTTTTGTCTTGTTAGGATGTTTCTGGTTTTTTTTTTAATCGTATTTTATTTTGCTATTGTTCCCTAAATATATGTTTTCTAATGGTAGACAGAAAGACAGTATATTCAGATGGGAGAGAAAACAGGATGGACAGAGAGGAGTGATGATTGGATGAACAATAATTAAGATATATTGTATAAAAATTTAAAAAATTAAGGCATCTGTTTTCAATATAAGAAAAGTGACTTTTGTCATAGTACTGGGAACAGAAAAAGACAGGATGTGAACAGGAAGGCACACCCACTAAGACAAACACTTATTGGATCATTGGTATTGAAAAAATGTGTTCATCTTGAATGTAGTTAACAGTGTTGATATACAAAATACTACATTTATTTACAAATTCTGTATTTTCAGACAATTATTTATGACAGTAAGGTATAATCTGAGTATCATGTATAAAAACACTTTAAACTACTAATTCAGTGCATTAAAGCTAACTTACTAAAATACAACTATCTCTTGGGGAATACAGGTAAATGGACAGTGCTGAGCAGTACAGGCTACAGAAGAGCCGAGTGTTAGTGAAGCGGTACCATCACCAGTCTGCCTCTTGGCTCTGCTGGCCATGCTGTCCTGGCTTGCAGCCTCTTCGATGACCACTGCCTTCATGTGTTTGACTTTGTCTCCAGTGCTAAACTGCCACCACTTCTCTATCACTTCCCAAGGAGCCACCTTCAACACTCTATCAAATTCTGTATTTGTTTTAAGATTAATGTGTAGAAATTAAATATGTCTTTTTAACTATACCAGTTTTCTATTAAGATTTTTATTGTTTTTGTTAATGCTCTGATTACAAGGTGTGTGTGTGTGTGTGTGTATGTGTGTGTGTGTGTGTGTGTGTGTGTGTGTGTGTAAATAATGGGCTGTTACTGAAGGTAAATTCTTTTCTCACCTAAAGTGATTTCTTTCAAAGTACAAGTTTTTTTTTAGAATTGTAGATAAAAAACATATAGACCAGAAAGACAATTCCTCTAAATGTAACACATCATAGCAGACAGCACTATTAGAGCAAACAAAATGTTGATTAATGGACAACATGAAGAGCCAAAATGTTACATATTCATAATGTAGAAAGTGGACTTATTGGGAAAAGGATTTCAGCTGGGAGACAAGTGAGGATGATGGGGAGGATATAATCAGAGTACACTCTAAGTGTGAAAGAACAAAGGCAATTTTAAACAAGAAAAAATAAATAAAAACAGTAATCAAATCTAGATTCTAAGAATTGAAAGTAAAGCAGAGCTTAAATGAGTAGTTTTATTATAAGCAGACAAAGTCTTAAAATAGGCATGATTTTTTGTCTCTGTGATTAAATATGTATTTCACTTTATAAAATATTGTATTTGTTTGAGTACTGTTGAATTCTTCAGTATGAAACTTTTTTTTATTAAGTAACATTCTTGCCTTAACAAGACAAAAATTTTAAAAGCTAAATTATGACACCTTGAGAAAATATCATAACTAAATATTTCAGGAAAGTGAATAATATTTTTAAGAATAATTATATTGAATATTTAATAAAAAGCAATCATTTTCAACTATCTCAATAATAATGTGAGACAAGTATTTTCTTTTGAATTATTTTAATGTTATAAGTAAAATTTTCATGGTGAAAATATAGAACAAAATGTGCAAGTTTAATTTTTTATCTTTTAAATTAAAAATCAGTTCATAAGCTCAATAGAATTAAAATAAAATTATACTTTCAGTATAATATTTTGGGATGCATTGTTTTATAAATATGGGCTGTGTTAAAAATTAGCAGAGAATAACAGAGTAGCAATCCAGCAGAGAGGAAATCAGTTTGGTCTCCACACTATGACAGCTAGAAAAAGATTTCCTGCTGTCAACCAACTACAGGATAGAGACAAATGGGTCCTTCTGTGTTTGTCAAAGGGACCACAGCCTTTTCAAGACCCTGCACTTCAGCCTTGCCGAAACTGGAACTAACACATCCTTGTATGCTCCATAGAGAGGAGTCATTAAAATGATTTAAAATGGTAAGTTTGTACTCTTTTTTTATGTAAGAATAATTGTGATACTTACCCACCCTGCTACTGTAGCCATTAGAACTAGAGACACTCTAAATGTAGAAAAGGCAGAGATGATAAAATAACAGCAATAAAAACAACAACAACAAAACAAAAATAAAAAACGTTAGTGTGTATTTTCATCCTGGTAGAGAAGTAGATGCAGACTTGTCTGTTGTAAGTTGATTTTCATCCCTCCTTTTCCCTTCTTTATTCTTATTTTCTACTCTTAAAATTTTCCTTTCCCCTTCTGGCTTTATGCTTGCTTCATAAAATAGCTGAGTTTTTCTCATGAGGTCAATAAACCCACCACAGCAGATATTGATCAAATTTATGTTTAACCTAGTAGCCTGGTGGTTTTTTTTCTCCACTGATTTTCAGAATAGAAAATTTACTGAGGAATCACTGGCACCAGGATTTATCCCTACTGCTTGTACTGGCTTTTTGAGAACCTATTCTCTTTGGATGATACCTTGCTCAGCCTAGATATAGTAGGGTGAACCTTGGTTTTTCCTCAAAGTAATGTGCCTTACATTCTCTGAGGACTGGGTTTGGGTGGGGTGGGTAGGAAGGTGGAGGGCATGGGAAGGGGACAGGGACTGAGTACTAGGATTGGTCTGTAAAATGAAAAAAAAGTAGCTTGTTTTCTTTTTTTTAAAAAAAAATAATAAAAAAGAAAGACAAGACAACAAAAAAAAACAATTTTATGTTACATACTTTAGAATCTATTTTTACAACTGATAATTATGAAAGGGAAAACTATGTTTGAAATAATCTTGCTAAGCGTCCAGCATTATCTTTTTTTTTAAATTCTACCTACATATTTTATTTTCCTTCATTATTCTCTCTGACAATGTTTGTAAAGGGAACAGTGGGCTGCATCCTGCCACTCGCCCAGCTAGCTTTACCTGAAATAATTACACGGAAACTGTATTCATTTAAACACTGCCTGGCCCATTGTCATCAGCCCCTTATTATCTAACTTTCACACATGAATTAACCTATTTCTAATAATCTGTATATCACCACGAGGTCGTGGCTTACAGGGAAGATTCTAACCTGGGTAGTTCCACGAGGTCGTGGCTTACAGGGAAGATTCTAACCTGGGTAGTTCCAGAGAGGAGAGTCAAGGCGACTGCTTCACTGCCTTCTTCCTCCCAGCATTCTGTTCTGTGTACTCCACCCACCTAAGGGCTGGCCTATCAAAAAGGCCAAGACAGTCTCTTTATTAACCAATGAAAGTAACAATAGACAGATGACCCTCCTCCATCATTTCCCCTTTTTCTGTTTAAACAAAAAAGAAAGGCTTTCACTTTAACACAGTAAAATTGCAAATAACAAAACAGTTATCAAGCAAGAATTACAGTTACAATATTTATATCTTCTTTATCTTTTATCATAACTAAGGAAAACTATACTTATTCATTCTTCAACTCCATCAAAGACTCCAGAAGGATATAATATTACCTAAGTAAACAGGAAGTAACCAACTTCCAAACTCTAGAAATGACAGAGACATCTCGCTGTCTGGACAGTCACCCAAAGTTTTCTTGTTCCGTTGGGGCATCCATCTTCAGCCTACAGGCCAATAGTATCCAGCAGACATTTCCATGAAGCAGGAAAATTCAAAGACAGTTCAGTCACTTTTTGCTGTGTCCTGCAGAATATCTCGTAGACTCTTTCATAAATCAGGAACTCCAAAGGACCATCTCACTTTTAATCAAGTTAAGCAGTCCTCTCTCTGCGGGTTCTTCATGTCCAATTTATGCAACAGTCCAGGCAAGAGCAGTTTCTTGCCCAAATGGCTAACCAACTCCTTAAGGAGCCTCTTCAATGCCCATCTTCCTCTTGAAGTAGATTGGTGCTGTCAGGAGCAGATGTGTCTCATTGTCATGAAAAGCCCTAAGTTATTAAAACATTAAATGCCACATTCTGTAGTCTTTGAAAGATATGAAGAATGTCTATCTAACTGAAATATATCTCTATACATCTAGAAAATCTAACTAACATGACTACAAGCTTGACTGTTATCAATGATTATCCATTAACAACCTATATTTCTTAATTATACATTATATTTTTAAATGAGCTACATAATCACAATACCTTAATCAAGATCAGAAATACATATAACAAATTGACCTTAAATTCCATACCAATGCAAATTATTCATCTCTATATCATATCCCCCTTTAAATGTAAAAGAACATTTATAAACAATATTTGGGAATATGGGTGTAGTTTTTTCTCTCCAAACTTCTTACTGCTGAATAGGGGCGCTGTTAATCAGGTCTTTCATGATAGCCTGTTTGTTAGGTTCATCTCAGTTGGCGGTTGAATGAAATAATTTCTTGAGGGTGTTCACAGCAACCTTTCAGGAGGACGTGGTCTATCATACCATATTGGGATAGAAACAATCCACAGGGTTTCATCCTCTGTGAAAACAAAAGAAGACCCTCTCCAAAGCATCATATCCTTAGACCCAAATTTGGAAGTTATTGTACCCTTATAATATCCATTCTGGTTTAGCTTCGCAGCCCATATAATGAAATGTCTCTCTGTAC